ATTTAGAGTGGGGCCGGAGGGTTGTGTGGCATAACCGATATCTGCCAAGCTCTCCCTCTCCCTCCCGCAGAAAGAGGTGATCCAGGCTCTGCCCAAGCTCATCAAGCTGAATCCCATCGTGGTGAAGGAGGTGTTCAACCGCCTCTTGGGGACGCAGCACGGTAGGTGCTGAGCCGGGAGCTGAGCCGAAGGGCTGCGATTTCCCCGTTCTGCGGGGCCAGCTGCTGACATGATGCTGGGAGATGGGCTGGTGCCAATGGACCCTGGGGGGGCAATGGTGACATAACGCTCAGTGCGAGGACAATTGGGGGTCAGTCCTGCCACGTCCATTCCAGGCGGGGGTGGGAGCTTCACGCCCCCTGGCCCAGCCAGGGAGAAGCCTGAGCATGGAAAGTTTCAGGAGCCCCATCTTGTCTCTCGTTGGGAGCCTGGGGAGAAACTGATCTGGGCAGCAGGGCCCTAGGCGGCCCAGTACAAGCCTCCCACTAGGGCACAGTGGGTCTGCGCAGACAGCCCGGCCTCCCAGCTCAGCCTCCCCCTCTTTGCCTTGTGCAGGCGAAGGGAATTCGGCCGTGTCCCCCCTGAACCCTGGGGAGCTGCTCATCGCCTTGCACAACATCGACTCCACCAAGTGCGACATGAAATCCATCATCAAAGGTAAGGGGGTGCCGGAGCCCGGGGCAGATTCGGACAGCGGGGACAGCTGTGTCTGCTGGGCCAGCCCTTTGGCTGCTTGCGCCACTGTGCTGCCCCTTTCTCCTTCCCCTTAACTGGCCCACGGGTGGAAGCCAGGACTCCGGGGTTCTCGTCTCGTGCCCACTGGCAACCTACCCCCTGCTCTCTTCTCTGCCCCTCCGTGTGTCTCAGCCACACCCCCGAATCCCCGGCAGCCTTGGCTGACGTCATCTCTTCCCCACCACAGCCACCAACCTGTGTTTCGGCGAGAGGAACGTCTACACGTCGGAGGTGCTGGCCGTGGTGATGCAGCAGCTGATGGAGCAGAGCCCCCTGCCCATGCTGCTCATGAGGACGGTCATCCAGTCACTGACCATGTACCCACGCCTGGGTGGCTTCGTCATGAACGTCCTGTCCCGCCTCATCATGAAGCAGGTGGGAACCCGGCCCCGCGGCACCTCCTGCAGCCTGGCCAGGCAGCCTAGCGCTGGGACCCCGGCACAAGCTAAGCTGGGTTGGGTTAGCCCCTGGAAATCCCAGGGCTCCTAAGGAGTGGAGGGGGGGTGATCCACAGAGGGCGCTCTTATTGTTGAGGCCTTGTTAAGCTCGTGCCCCGGAGGTAGGGGGCTCTGGAGCTGGCATTGTCCTCTCCCTGCTGAGCCATAACGCTAAGATCCCGTCACTGGCTTCTGTTCAGTCCACTGTCCTGGCCCGTTCCCCCTCTCCTCTCTTCGGCCTCCCTCAGCCCCCACTCCTTGCACTTAGTCTGCACTTCCTGTCCTAAACTGCCATGCACTGGTGGCGTCTGGCTATTGACTGGCCGCCAGGTTCCTCCCCAGAGGTGGCAGCATCCTCGCGCCAAGGAAAGCGATTTTCTCCAAAGTAGCTGGGGGCGGGGCAGCTCTTCACCTGTCCCCCAGACAGCCCAGGTCTCTTCATTTCTCAGTCCTGCTCCCCCTCAGGCGCGGGCTCCGGAGGTGCATGTGACAATGCCAGGCCTCTGCCCCACTCCAGGTGTGCCTTGCCCCTCCACCAGCTGCCCTGGCTTTCAGCACTGCCTCTGGGTGGGCTTCTCCACCCCCAGTGTGACCCGCTGACACATGGAGGGCTGGCTGAATTCGCTGCCCCTTGTGCCCATGTGTGGGTGTGCAGGGGAGGGCATAGTGAAAAGGCCCCTCTCTTAACCACCCCCCTTTGCCCTCCCAGGTGTGGAAGTACCCCAAAGTGTGGGAGGGCTTCATCAAATGCTGCCAGCGCACCAAGCCCCAGTCCTTCCAGGTCATCCTGCAGCTCCCTCCACAGCAGCTCAACGCCGTCTTCGAGAAGTGCCCCGAGCTGCGGGAGCCGCTGCTGGCCCATGTCCGCTCCTTCACTCCGCACCAGGTACTGGCCTGCTCCCTGGAGGGCTGGGGGGGAGTCATGCAGGAGATTGGGGGCTGAGTGTAATCTGGGGGGGGGCACAAGTGATGGTGGGGTATGCAGCTGTCCTTCCCTTTAATAATGGGGACAGACTGCAGGGCCCCAGCATGCAGTGCTTCCCGTCAGTCTAATGAAGGTGGGGGTGTAGGGAACGGAGCTTTCTTTAGGGTTTGTTCTTACCCAGTTCCCTTGGGGCTCCAGCATCCCCACCCTTTACTGGGGCAGGTGGGGAGTCAGGCTGTGTGTCACCAGCCCTCAGTGGGAGGAGGAGGATGGTCCTAGTCACAGTGCCCCCTGGAGCCTGATGCAAGATTGCTCCCTAGTGTGCTGGGCTCTGCCCCTGTTTGGCTGTGTACCCCCAGCAGTGGGGCTCCCAGCTCTCCCCTAGGGGATACCACACCTCAGTCAGCCAGCTCGTGCTCAGCCTTTAAACTCACCTGCTGCGACTAGTGACTGCTCCCTAGGACAACTCTGCCCCCGTCCCAGGGTAGGTCATAGAATCATAGGTCCTTACAGGCCAGCCTCTCTCTCCAGTTGGGAGCTGGCTGTTCCCAGGGCAGGGGAGAGGCTGGAGCCCCGGACCCAGGGCAGCTGGCTCCCGCATGACTTGCTCACCCGGCCCCTCTTTCCCCTCCCCATCCCGCACAGCAAGCGCATGTCCCCAACTCCACCATGGCCATCCTGGAAGCCAGCAGCAAGCAGGAGGTGGAGGTGAAGGACTCCCAGCCGCTGGAGGAGGTGAGCGGAGACGCCTGGGCTGGGAGGCTGGGAACTGGGCTGGGGAGGGAGTAAGCCGGTACCTGAAGGTGCAGAACAGAGCTGTGGGCTCAAGAAGGTGCTGGGGGCAGGACTCTAGCCACAGGGCTGGTCTGAATGCTCTGCTGCAGAGGCCCAGGGTCTGTGGGACGGGCCTCGTCTATTTCCCCCGCGGGCTGGCAGGGAGCGGGGTCCCCAGCCCAGACTCTCTGAGCGGAGTCCTTTGCTACCCTGACTCGGAGGGATGGGGAGGGGTCCCTTCCCTGGCTGACGGCGCTTTATCGCCCGGCAGGAGGAGCAGGAGCCCGCGCCTCTCCTCCCACGCATGTCCCAGGACATGATCGCTCTGCGGCTGGCCCAGGAGAAGGCACTCAAACGCCAGCTGGAGGAGGAGCAGAAACTGAAGCAGCCAGCCAGCCAGCCGCGCCCTGCCCATGCCCTGGCACCGCTGCCTGCTGAGGAGCCGATGGACTTCCGGGAGGAGGGGCCCGAGGTGGAGACGCCCACCATTTTCATTAGCATGCAGGAGGAAGAGGAGGGTTCAGGCGGAGATGGGTCCCTGTTGGACTCCAGCATGGAGGGGCCCCTACCTGCGAAGGTACGTTCTGGGCACAGACAGGCACTTGGCAGAGCTCGTGCATAGAGTCAGGGCTGCACACAGCCAGGGTCCCATTAACCCCTCGCTGGCCTTAGAGCTTCCTACTTCTTCTTGGCCTCCCAGTGTCCCCTTGCACAGAGGGGGGTAAGGAGAGCTCTGCCGGCCACCAGAGGGCGCTCCCCAAACACTGCAGCATCAAGGGCCCTGCCCCATGGTAGCCAAGGTGGCTCCTGCTGCCAAACCCCTGTGCAGCCAGTGACCCTGCCCTGCTTGCCGCTTGAGCCAATCTGCCCTGGGGGCAGGGCTGCTCCACCCCCACTGGTCTGATTGACCAAAGCATGGAGCCAAGGGCCTATCCAGTGCCTTTGGCTCCTCCCCTTCCTGCCTGAGGCCAGGAAACCAAGGCTGATGTAGAGATCTTGGGGTGGGGTGGGAGTGCCCTAGGATAAGTGAGGGGCCGTTGAGGTCTCAGTTAGGGAAATGATCCCCTCTTGGGGGTCAGGGTGGCAGTTAAAGCTAGAATCTAGCTCCGCAACGGGTCCCATTGGTCCATCCGGCTGCAGGGCTGGGGTGTCTCCATGAGGCATCTTGTCTGCCCCCTTTCCCTGCCCCCTACCAGGAAGCGAAGAGCAAGGAGGCGGGAGCCAGCAGCGCCGCTGACGAGGGAGCGGAGAGCAAGCCCGAGAGCCTCACGCCCGACGAGCCAGCACCCGGCGGGCCCCAGCCGGTCAGCCAGCCTGAGGAGCTGCCAGAGCCCGGCGGTGGCAGCACGGAGCAGGAGCAGAAAGCAGAGAGCTGATGGGGCGGGGCAGAGCCGGCCCCTCCAGGGCAAAGATACTCAGGGGGGAGGGGGAGAGGAGCAGAAACTGCACAGCTAACGGCCTGGCTCTTGGCCAAATAAAGAGGCCAAATCAAGAGTCGCTGGTCCTGGGCCTTTCTGCCTCCCTGTCTGTGTGGGGCGTGTCCCTCCCTGGGGCGGGGCTCATCTCCCTGACCCTCCAGAGAAACCTCCTGCTGGGGGAGTCTGGTGGGGGGGTGCGGGAGGGAGCAGTGGGTGCTGGAGGGGAGGAAGGGGAGGGACAGTGGGTGGGGAAGGGGCGGGGCTGAGGGGGGGAGGGGCAGTGGGTGGGGGGTGGGGGAGGGGCAGGGGCGGGGCTGAGGGGGGAGGGGCAGGGGGTGGGCGGGTGGGGAAGGGGCGGGGCTGAGGGGGGGAGGGGCAGGGGGTGGGGGAGCGGGTGGAACCTGGTGGGAGGTTGCTATGGGTTGGAACCTAGGGAGGGGCGGAGCCCGGTTGGGGTTGATAAGGGGCGGAGCCTAGAGGGAGGTTGGTGGGGGCGGAGCCTAGGGAGGGTCAGGGCGGGGACGGAGCCGGGTTGGGGGTGGCTAAGGGGCGGAGCCTGGAGGAAGGTCGGTGGGGGTGGAGTCTCGGTAGGGGGCGGGGCTAGGTCGGTAGGGGCGGAGCCTGTGGCCAGTCGAGAAGGGGGCGGGGCCTCGTGTGGTTGCTACGGGCCCGCTTCCGGGGGCGGGGTCAGAGGTGGCTTCCGGAGGGAAGATGGCGGCGGCGGCGGCGGTGGCGGCTCCCGACGGGCCCCCCGCGCTGCTCCCCGAGCTGAAGAGCCAGTTCCGGACCCGCGAAGGCTCCTACCGGCTCCTGGCGCCGCCGGGGCCCGAGCCCCGCAGCCGGGGGGGGCCCTGCCGCCGCCGCCGCCGCGCCGCCCCCCGGGGGCCCCTCCCCGCCCGCGCCCCCGCCCGGCCCCGCCGCTCCCGCCGCGCTGCCCCCGGTGCGGCTCTCGCTGGTGCGGCTGCTGCTGCCGCCCGAGGGGCCCGAGCCCGCCGAGCCGGGCGAGCCCGCCGAGCGCAGCCGCCTCTGCTGCAACCTGGGCCGGGAGCTCTACTTCTACTCGGGCTGCGGGCCGGGCCCCGGCGGCCGCGGCAGCAGGCGGGTGAGGGGGGGGCGCGGTATTAACGGGGGGTTGGGGGGCAGGACGGGAGCACCCCCATGTGCGGGGTACGGGGGTGGGGGCTGGGAAGGGGACCTGGGCGAAGGAGGGGACTGGGGAAGTGGGTGGGGAAGGGGAGGACCCGGGTGAGGGGGCTCTGGGGGGGCCCGGGTTGAGTGGGTAACGGGGTGTGGGGGGGAGCCCTGAGCAGAGGGGGCTGGGAAGCGATCTCTTGAGGGGTGGAAGAAGGGGTCGAGGAGAGGGAGGTAACTGTGGGAGGGGCAGGGGAGTAAGCGGATGCCAAGGGGCCCGGGGGGGGGGCGGGAAGCTGGTACAAGGATTGGGGGAGCAATTAGGTCATGGGGTGCAGTCAAGTTGTGGGGGGATCGAGGGGGCCTGAGGCGAGCACGTTGATAATGGGGAGAGAGGGAGGAGTTGGTTTTTAGGGCCCGGGGGAGCTGGAATCAGCAAATCCCCAGGGAAGGGAGAAGGTTTCCTCCAGAAGCAAGAGCTGCAGGGACCCCCAAAGTGAAGAGGGAATCTGGGTGGTTGCAGAGGAAGGGAGAGGGGGAGCCTGAGGCTGGAGGGAAGAGAAACCCCTGAGAAGGAGGAGAGGGATGGAACCAGGAATCCTGAGGGGGGCTGGGGAGTGTGTGGGGGTCCTTCCCCGGGGAGGGGGAGGGGGTTAAGCTCCTGCAGGGGAGCGTGTGGGGTTGGATTCCAGACAGAGGGAAGAGCCTCCGCTGAGGGGGTGCTTGGAGGCCCCAGTGTTCATGCGCTGAGAGGCGTGCAGGCAGTAAGAGTTTAGGAGTGAGTGAGCTGTTTAGCTCCAGTGAAGGCTAAAGGTGGCAGCGACAGGCGTCTGTCCTGTTCACTTTGGGCATCCGCCCTGTGCTGTTGCTTTCAAACAGCTGCACAAACAAGCTACGCAATCAACCCCTGCCGAATTCTGTGTTGGTGCTGGGTGCCGCTTTGCTACTCTGCAGTCCCCCATTTCCACAAGATTTAGCAACAGAGATGTTGCTGCCGTGAGTCTTTCTACTGCCACTTCTCTGACATACACTCCAGTGCAAATATTTGTACAGCAGCAGTTGGGATGTACAACCCTGGGAGGAGGATGCTGACTTTAGATCTCTGAGCTTTTAGTTGACCGTAAGGTTGTTGGAGATGTGAGGGGTCTGGGCCCATTTCCAGAGAGATCTTGGCAGTTGGGGCCAAACTATGGTATCAGTTACCGAGCCTGACCAATCAAAGTATATTTAATGATGCAGCATCCTTGTGTGTGTTTCCAGCGTGTGTTAATGGGCTGTTCCAGCTGCGCACACAGGACCGTGGGTGAGCATGGTGCTTCAGATGGATAAGATAACTTTACACCTGAACTTAGCATCTTAGCTGAAATTGGGAGCACTAAGGTTCTCGATCTGTCACTAGGGCAACTAAGGGAGGCTGTGTGGAGACTAACACTTACACGGCTGGCACTCTTCCACATCAGAGCCCTTGCTGTGCCAGTGCTTTCTCGATCCTTCCCGGGGAGGGGCAGGGAAAGCGGAGCCACTTGAAAGGGGAAAGTTTTAGCCTTCTTTAAAAGGCTCGTTTGGCATCTTGTGTGGGTTGAAGAGGGTGGCGGGGGGTGTTGTGGAGAAGCCTTCTGGGGGTTAGATGTAATTGGGGGTTTTTTCTAGGGGTTGTGTAAGCAGTTAGGAAACTGTTCAAATCTTTACTGCAATGTGATCGCATCACTGGAGATGCACATCAAAATGGTGTGAGAGCAATTGCTGCTTACAGTGAACAATTGGCTGCTTAAGCCTTAAAATAAGTTTCAGAGTAGCAGCCGTGTTAGTCTGTATCCGCAAAAAGAAAAAGAGGGGACGTGTATTAGTCAGGCACAGCTGGTTGTAATCCCTGTCACAGTCACGTCAAAAATGGTCAGGCTTGGGCAGGAAAGAGGGGTCTAGTGCTTAGAGCAGGAAGGAGCTGAGAATTGGGATTCCTGGGTTCCATCCCCAAGCTCTGGGAGGGGAGAGGGGTCTTGTGGTTAGAGCAGGAAGGGGCTGAGAGTTGGGATTTCTGGGTTCTGTTACTGGCTCTGTCACTTCTTGACACAGAAAAATCACTTCCCTTCTTTGCCTGAATTTCCCCATCTGTAAAGTCAGCGGGATGGTACTGTCCCGGGAGGAAGGGGCTGGGCCTCCGTAACCGATGTCTGTCCACACTCTGAGACCCTTGGCAGCAGGGCGCGGCAGGAGGGAGGGGATTCGCTGTCCTGAACAGTTATTGAGTTCAGTTGCTTGCCTTGGGGATCCTACCCTGAACAGGAGCAGCAGCGATAATCCCCTGTTCCTGCCAGCACCTCCCACCATGCCATAAAAACTCCACGGCCCACCTGGGCCACAACAACTTTTTCTGCATATAAAAGGACAGGGACGGCATTAGGGGGTAGCAAACGGGAGCCACGTGAAGCTAAGTTGCTGAGGCTTCAGGTGGCGGGGCTCAGAGCCCGGGGCTTCAGCTTTGTGTCCTGGGACCCAGTGAGTCTAATGCTGGCCTGCTTGGTGGATCCCTTAAAATCTGCTAGCGGCCCCAGGTGGCCCTGAACCCCTGCTTCAGGGTCCTGGCTCTAGATCCAATCCTGCAAAGTGTGTAGGTTTACGGGGGGGGAATGTAACTGACATTTCCTCTTTCAAAGCCAGCGGCTTCTCACCCCTCCTGGTGTTGTTGAATTCCAGTCCCTCGATCTGAACAAGCCCATCGACAAGCGCATCTACAAAGGCACTCAGCCCACCTGCCACGACTTCAACCAGTTCACAGCCACCACTGACAGCATCTCACTGCTGGTGGGCTTCTCTGCTGGCCAGGTTCAGTACCTGGATCTCATCAAGAAGGACACCAGCAAGTTGTTTAATGAGGAGGTGAGATCCCCGCTGCTAATGAGCCTTTTGCTCCCTCCTTAGCCTGGGCAGGATTTCATCCAGCCTCCTGAGCCCTGCTGCCATTATGGGTCTTGTAACTCGCCACCTTCCTGTTCAGAGCCCAGCTGTGCTGGTCCCCAGACTGGCCGCTAGAGAGCAGTGCAAGATTTCCCATGCTCCTGGCATCACTTCACATTTCACAAGCTAAGCAGGGTCAGGCTGGGCCAGAGTTTGCGGGAGGCTCTGTTAGGCAGTTCTCTTCCCTCTGATTGGTTACTGAGCCCTGTGTGTTTCTAGGGGTCACTGGGCGCTCAAGGGGAGCCTGTCATTATAAATCGTATTCTGAGGTCGTTAACGTTCTGTCCGTTACCTGAAATAACCCCTGTAGCAGCAGCAACCAGAGGGGGACTTCACAGCTGCTCTTGTTTGTGTGGGTGATGTACTTTGCTGTGGGGGTTGTGCCTGACTCTCAGCTAGCAAAACACTCCCCTGCTGCAGCCTGGGCCTGCTAAAGGCTTCCTGCTGTAGCTGGCAAGTTTCTTGTTTAGCTGCAGGGGTTTTCAAATGAGGCTGCGGTTTGCACGGGAAAGGGTTAATGGTGAAGCAGACGGATGGGAACGGGATACAGGCCCTTCAGCCTGGAGGTTTCTGGTTCAGGTCCAGCCCAGTTTGGGACGCAGTTGCCATCTGTCCCTTGGTCTGTATGCAACGAGTTGGGGAGTTCTCAGTCTAGGGCCCAGCAGGCCACATCACAAGCTACTGTCCCAACCAGCCCCAGTGGAATGGCCGAGGACTGGACAGGCCCCTAACCTAAATTCCCCTCTCCGCCCTGGGGGGTCTCCCCCTAGGGAAGGTCACCTCAGTCTGATACCTGCTCTCTGTTTCACATTCCCCCAGCGGCTCATCGACAAGACGAAGGTGACCTACCTGAAGTGGATCCCGGAGACAGAGGGCCTCTTCCTGGCCTCCCACGCCAGTGGGCACCTGTACCTGTACAACATGGAGCACCCGTGCGGCTCCGCCTCACCCCAGTACACCCTCCTCAAGCAGGGCGAGGGCTTCGCCGTCTACGCCTGCAAGAGCAAAAGCTCCCGCAACCCACTGGTGAAGTGGGCGGTGGGCGAGGGGGCCCTCAACGAGTTCGCCTTCTCACCCGACGGCCGCTACCTGGCCTGCGTCAGCCAGGACGGCTGCCTCCGCGTCTTCCACTTCGACTCCATGCTGCTGCAGGGAATGATGAAGAGCTACTTTGGGGGGCTGCTGTGCGTCTGCTGGAGCCCCGACGGGCGCTACATCGTCACTGGCGGCGAAGACGACCTGGTGACCGTCTGGTCCTTTGCCGAGGGTCGGGTCATCGCCAGGGGGCACGGGCACAAGTCCTGGGTCAACGCGGTGGCCTTCGACCCCTACACCAGCAGCGTGGAGGAGGAGGAACCGCCGGAGCTAAGCGGCAGCGACGAGGAGCCCCAGGAGCCGGCCCACTTTGGCCGGGTGCGGACTAGCAGCACCCTGTCCCGCCTCTCCAAGCACAGCACCAAGAGCTCCCCCTCGGTGACCTACCGCTTCGGCTCGGCCGGCCAGGACACTCAGTTCTGCTTGTGGGACCTGACGGAGGACGTGCTGTACCCCCACCCCCCGCTCTCCCGGGCCCGGACTCTCACAAACACCTTCAGCTCTGGCATCCCCTCCTCGGTGAGCGGTGGGAGCAACCTGGCTGGGGAGCCGGGGGTCAGCAGCGGGGGGTCCATCCTGCCCCGCTCGCTCTCGCGCTCCAACAGCCTGCCCCACCCGGCCGTTACCAGCGCCGCCAAGAGCCAGGTGGCGGACAGCGCCGTGCCCTTCAGCATCGGCAAGTTCGCCACGCTCACCCTGCAGGAGCGCCGGGACAAGAACGCCGAGAAGGAGCACAAGCGGTATCACAGCCTGGGCAACATCAGTAAGAGCAACGACAAGATCAGCGGGGCGCCCCGGAGCAAGCTGGACACGGCCAAGGTCTTGGGCACGGCCCTCTGCCCCCGCATCCACGAGGTGCCCCTGCTGGAGCCCCTGGTCTGCAAGAAGATTGCCCACGAGCGGCTGACGGTGCTGCTCTTCCTGGAGGACTGCATCATCACCGCCTGCCAGGAGGGGCTCATCTGCACCTGGGCCAGGCCTGGGAAAGCCGTAAGTACAGCTGCAGGGCTGCCCTGGGAACGAGGAGGCCTGCACGTACTGATCCCAGAGCGGCCAAGGCTTCTGCTTCCCCTCTGGCGCTCGTGGAGCCCTGCAGCCTGTGGGGAATGGTTCCTGGCAGGGGGACCACACAGGGGCAGTGCTCTGAGGAGAGGGGAGGGAAGTGGGAAAGGCTGTTGTACTCAGGGGGGCATTTGGGACAGCAGCTAAGAAATTAGGGAGTGGGGTCTAGTGCGAAGTGGTGTCAGGACCTCTGGGGTCCATTCCTGGCTCTGGGAGGGGAGTGGGGACTGACTATTGGAACAGGCTCTAGCTTCTATTCACTGCCCCAAAACTTTTTAACCCAGAGTGAGGCTGACTGCTGCAGAAGGTCAAGTGCATCGAGGTAAACCCTGCAAACGGGCCAGCTCAGCCCCCCAGCTCTAACTCTGCTCTCTGCGAGAGGGCCACCACGCCACTCTGCCCTTCCCGACGGTACGCAGTGATGTGGGGACGCTGCACATGGGACAGTAGGAAGCTGTCTGAGCGTGTCCTCACTAGGGGAATAGGGCTGGCTTACGACCACCAGCTACGCCGGGGTTGGACTTGCCTACGCTGCACAGACCACTCCGGATGCTGCTCCCCTGGGCCTTCGTCCGGGGGATTCTGTTGGGCACGTCCCCTGAATGGGGCCCAGCAATCTTCCAGACAGTCTGAGTGAGCAAGTGGATTTTAGAGCTCTTAGAAAAATCAGCTGTTAACAAGAGTCAGCCTTTGCTGTAGGGATGCTGCTGGCCCAGGTGATTCCTGTCTCTGCCGCTGACTCGCTGGTTTGGTTTTCAACCCTGGGGGAAAATCACTTCATCGGCCTCCGGATTGACTCTGTTCTGGAGTGGCAACGCGGCCCTGCCTCAGAAGCATTGCGGGAGGTGTCCAGCAATTGCTGGGTGCCACCTGCTTTGAGATCCTCTGTCGAAAGTTACTCCAACAGGGGACCCCAAAAGGCTCAGACACCAGGAGGCTAATGAATGCCCCCCCCCCCCACTGTTATTTTAAAAAAATCTCCGGAGGTTGAAGCTAATCTCGTGATTTGTGGGGGCAGGTTTCTGAGCACTTGGGGTTAACTTTGCCCTTCCCTGTCTCCGCAGTTGGGGTGGCGTGTCTTCCACCTTCCCCCCCCACCCTTTAACTGGTGCCTGGGAGCACAGAGGTGTGAAATCAGGGATACCTACAGTGCCCCCCCCCGCTGACACAGCCACCCCCAAGCGGTTCTGTGGCAGGAACGCCCAGCTGCTCACACTGACTCATCTTCCAGCTCCCCCCCCCACCACACACACACTTTGTGCTGCTTGCTCTGAGATGATCCGTGCAATTTGCCTTCTCTTGCTTCTCAGGCTGTCGGGCCTGAGACAAACCATCCTCGCTGCCCCCTGCAGCCGATTTCAGGAGCGACCCCGAGACGCGGCTAGTCCAGAACCAGCCCGGTCCCGTGCGCGGCAGAGAAGCAGAGACCAAATGGGGGGGTGCCTTTGGGTACGTCTGGACTGCAGCTGGCAGCGAGCCTCCCAGCCCGGGCTGACGTTCGCGCCCTGGGGAGGTTGCAGCTCTGGCAGAGGCTCAGGCCCTCCCGACCTCCTGGCCGGCCCAAACCACCCCTGGAGCCGCAGCATCCGCGGTGCTGGGCGTGAGCCCCACTAGCTGAAGTCGTGTGGAAGTGAGGCCCTGCTGCATGTTGGCCCTAGTGCAGCGTGTTCCCCTCTGGCCCAGACGGGGCTGGGTCCTGTCACTAGTGTGTGGGGGGGTGCCCCTTTCCACCCATCTCCATGGTGGTTGTAGCCTGCAGGCAAAGGGTTAACACGCCAGGCTGCTGGCCTGTCACTGACTTTGCCGGGAAACAGGACTGGTGAGTGATGCGCTTAAAACCCAGCAGGACCTGCCTCTGCGCCCCGGCTCTGCCTGCTGTCAGTGAGGGCATCGGGGTTGCGTGATCCCAGGGGCACCTGGCCCCTCAGCTGCCCTCTTGAAGTTCTTTAACTCGCTCCTTGTCGTCCCCCAGCCTGAGGCTTGGGACCCCCATCGGAGCCAGGCACCCTGTGTCCAGGAGACGGTCGCTGGCTCTGAATCAGGCAGGCGGGGGGGGGGTCGTGTGGACTCTCGTTAGTGCTTGGGATCCCATGGGCTGCAGCTGCTTCTCTGTGGAGCCGCCTGACCCCTCTGTGCTGCAGGGTCGTTGGCTTCTCCCCAGATCTTGCCCCAATGGGAGCCTGCGGCTAGAAAGCTTTGGGTGCACAGGGCAGCCTGGGGGGCCAAGCCCCGTTAACAGGATGGGGGTGGGGGAGGGGATGGTGAGCCCTGTCCCGCCGATACAACAAGGGCTTCACAGCTACCAACTCAGCCCTGATTTCACCCAGATGTCCCAGCCGCTGGCATGTCCACTGCCTCCCCGGTAGAGGTGATTCCAGTGGCTTTGTGGTGTCTGGGACCGGAGTGGGGGCTTGTTCAGCAGAAGAGCTTAGCCTCTGGAAGGCAGTTTCCATCCAGCCCTGCACCGCGTAGTGCCGTGTGCCCCCCACCCCCAATGTGCTGGGACTCCAGATGGGCTCACGAACAAAGGCAAGCAATGGGATTTGATCCTTGTCACCAGCCCTGACAGCTGCTCCGGGGCTCGGCGAGGGGAGCAGGGGGCTCTCTCGATCTCACCTGTCTCCACCAACGGAGGTTCTGCCGTCTGCACGGCCCCCACCGCCTTCAGTGGATACGCCCCTGGGTGGGGGCTCTGGGCTTTGCTGCTGGGTGCCCTTGGGCAAGATATTTCCCCTCCCTGTGCCTCAGTTTCCCCACCTGTGCAGTGGGGCTAATGACACTGACCTCCTTCGTAAAGCACTTTGAGGTGGATTGTTGTTGTGTTTGCGGGGGTGGGCATGTTGTGCCAGGTGCTGTGCAGACAGAGAGCGGGGGGGTGGGGGTGTGCAGGGGGAGAGACTCCCTGTCCCAAAGAGCTCACGGCTGGAAAAAACGTAGTACCCAGGCAAAGCTCTGCACCTGGCCACTGCCCCCAGGTTAGAGGGTGGGGGGAACGGGAGCAGGTCTGTGATGGGCTGGGCTGGCAGACATCTGCTCTTGTAGGCCAGGAATCAGGTGCAGGGACCGGCCCCTTCTGGCTCCGGCTGCTGCAAAGGGAACCGAAGAGGTGGGGCCCAGATCCTCCAGCGTGGTTTGGTGCCTAGTTTCTGTTGGTCCAGGTGGAGTTTGGTACCTCGATCCCTTTGCCGGGCTGGGCCCTGGTCGGTGCCTGTGTTTCAGGCCCTGGCGACGGGGCATCAGCCTGAGGTCCTGGGACTGGGGAGGTGCAAAGTCTTCTGACTTGTGGGGCCCGGTTTGCCCCGTTGCAGCCTCTTGTCCCTGTCTGTTGTTGTGTGGTGTGTGTATCCCCCACCCCCCGGTTCTAACCATCTCCCCCTTCCCTTTCAGAACCTCCCCTCTCAGAACGGCAGCTCGCCCAGTGGCACTGTGGTATAACCCAGGGACCGCCTGCCCCCCCACTCGGTGCCAGCTTGGCCGCCTGGCACCGCCCAGACTCCGGGCCCTCGTTATTTAACGCTAATTGACGCTGCGAGGACAGACGCTTCCCGTGGTGGTGAGCCGCTAACAGAGGTTTAATATATAGATACCCGTCTGCAGTGCACAGGCCCCTCCACTGGCCTGGGCCACCCTGTCCCTTAACGTATTAATGGCCCCTGTTTAAAGCTTTGTGGAACTTCAGCCCTGGAGTGATGGGAGCAGAGCCGGTCTCCCCAGAGCCCTCATTTTGCACAACAGCCTGGAGCTCTGGAGCTGCGAGCTGCCCAGGGGTGCTGCGGGGGGGGGGGGGCTTTCTGCTGCCTCAGTTTCCCCAGAACACACTGGAGTGGCCAGAAGGGCCCCTACAGGTTGGCACTACCTGCACTTCCTCTGCCAAGAGACAACCACCCTGGAGCATACGCAGTCCTGGAGGCAGCCGGAGACCTGGCACCCTGCCCCCACATGGGCACAAGCTACCGCCGGCATCCCCGGCACCACCTGCTGCTGTCCCAGATCCCTTGCAGGCAGGCTGGGCTTCGTCCTGAGCCAGCAGTCGCTCTCGTGGTCGAGCTGAGGGGGGCCCTGCCTGTCTGTCCTTGCCCTGCAGGGCCTCTGTGCCCGCTGTTACTACTGATCCCCAGCCCCAGAGATGGCAGGGCTGAGTGGAAAGGTGCCCAGAGGGCGGCAGTTTGGCAAATGCCTCCCCCTCCCCTCTGTGGGAGCGACCCCCAAAGCGAAACTCCCAGGCTGCTGTGCCAGTGTCCTGCGTTATACCCACTCTGGCCGTCTGCTCTGTGCCTGGCCTCGTCAGACCCCCCACTCCCCAGGGGCAAGGGCACTGCCATGCACCTTGGCTCTCCCCGGCCTCCCTGGAGCTGTGGGTGCTCACGGCACTGCCTGGCTACCGGCCCCTTCTTCCTGCAGCTGGCCACAGCGACTACCCCTTCCGCCTCTTAAAGCCTGGGCCGCCAGCTCCAGCTGGGGTTGGACACAGCTGCCCCTGTGCTCCTCTGAGCCCCTCTCCCTGGGAACGGCCACCCTGGCCTCATGTAGAATCATGGGGGGGGGGGGGGATGCTGGGTGGCACTTGGCCCCAGCTGCCTGAGCGACTGCCACTGCCTCCCGCCCTGGGGGAAGGCTGGCAGGACATGCACCTTTCGCTGGTCCGGTCCCGGGGAACTCTCCACCCCTGGAGCAGGCAACCCTGGATCCCCCTGGGAGCTGACCAGAACACAACGTGCATCCCTCCGGCTTGACTTGTGCTTGCCCCTGCTCGTTCCCCTGCCTGCTGGGATGGGGGAGAGCCCAGCCTTGCTGTACACCCAGCGTGGGCACAGGGAGAGCCCGGTCCGCACAAAGAACAGTATTAGCCTTGGTATCCCCTGCCCCATGGCCACTCACCTGTGCCCTCTAGCCCACTCCCCTGCAAGCAGCCCTCTGGGGCTCTGTGCAGGCACAATGTTGCCCTACTACTGCTGGCCCGAGGGCGCCTGCCCACTGGATGCCCCCCAGCAGCCCACACCCCTTGTCCACCCCTGCATGGGGGGCAGGGCCCGCAGGGATTGGGTACCCCTCTGCCGTCTGTTCCCCTTGTGGCTGAATGTCTAAGTTATGGAGCTGCGGATCTGCAAGTTCTTATTTATACTAAAGATACAATTTTCACACCCCTGCCCCCATGCCTCCACTCTGTCTGCGCCTCCAGTTGGGCTCTGCGCTGCCCATGGGGCGACGCCAGCATAGGGCAAAGACAGGGCTGCTCCTGCCAGCCGTAGCATGCGCAGCCCCAGCTCCTCTCTTGGTACCAAGGTGGGGAAGGCCAGTGCCATCTGACCACCTCGCTACATAATAATTCACTGTGTGTCTTTATAAGCCAGGTGCCAACCAGGCTCAGGGCCCCTGTGTACCTGGCTCTGCCCAGACACACAGTGACCGATGTTGGGGCCCCGTCACTGAGATTGGGGCCCCTCAGGCCAGGCGCGGCCCAGACACGCAGTGACCGAGATCAGGGGGCCGGGCGTGGCCCAGACACACAGTGACCAAGATCGGGGTCCCGTCGCACCGGGCGCTGCCCAGCATGAGAGCATCCCAATCCCAGAGCTCCGGCTGAGCAGGGGGCAGGGACTGGCCAGCCCATTGCACTGGGTTAGCTCCAGTTGCTGTGAAGTGAGGGGGGCAGGCTGGGGGACAAGGTTGGCGCCATTTCTAGCTGGGCAGCCAGCACGGGCATGAACAACTGTTGTGCCCACGTGTGAAGTAGTCTGAGGGGGGCCACAGCGGGCTTAGCACCAGCTGAACTTAACTGGCTTTCAACCCCCTGCTGGCTGCAACCTGGCCAGGGCGACTGGGGGAGCTGAGCAGGGATGTAGGGTGGGGGTAGGAATCGAACCTGCCTCTTGAGTCCCAGGCCAGGGTCTCCGCTGGGCTTTGGAATCGCAAAATGCATCTATGGGGTTTTTTCAAGTGGTAGGACAATGCCTAGGGATCTCTGCCCCAGCCACTGAGATGCAGCCACCTCTGGGGTGGAAGACGGCAGCTGCTGTGACAGTCACGAAACAACATGGCCTGCCAGGCCAGGATGGGCAGCGATAATGTCTGCGCGCGTTCAAAGCCATGGGGGCCGTGAGCGGAGCTGGAGTTCAGCCAGGCCTCAGGGTGAAACGGCTTAGTACAGGGGCAGCATGTGTCCTGGGCCCCCCCAGTGCTGCCAGTGCCCCTCCCAACCTGGTGCCCCCTGCCAGCCCAGCCCAGCCGGTGCCCCTCACTCCTGACCTGCAGCCCCCTGCTAGCCCAGTTCTTCCCCAGCATCACCACCCTGCTCGTGTAGCCCTGCATGGAGCTGGCAGCGTGGTCCGTCCCGGCTAGGCTGCACTGCAGTGGCTGCTGCGGGGCCCGGCAGGGGCAGCTGCAGGGCACCCCTTGGCCCCCCCGGTCCCCACCCCAACCATGGAGCCTGACTGTGGTCTCGGTAGCCTGCGCCAGGCAGGGCAAGGGGTGATGTGACCGGAGCCTGTGCATGGTGGGTGGGGGGGCGGGGGGGGGGCTGCGTGCTGCCGGGGGAGGTGAGGGGGTGCCTGGTGGGTGAGTGGCAATTGCAGGTGCATGCGTTGAGTATCAAGGGTGGAGCATATTGGGGTGTCAGGGAGGGCTCAGTGTGTGCACAATGGCCATTCCTGTCACTCAGCTCCTGGCTGGTGCCCGCCCCATGGGCCTGGCCCTGAGGCCTGTTGCCTGACCCACCCCTCAGCCTTGCTCTGTGTGTGGGGCGGGAGGGGGCGGTGAGTGCTCCTTGCTGGCCTGTTCCCTGCCCCCTGGCCCAACCTCCACCAGGCCGCATTTGGCCTGCGGGTAAAGCCCCATCGTCCCCACTAGGGGTCGCTTGCTTGGGCAGCCTGCTGGGGCGTCAGCCCCTCTGAGCGGAACCCCCCCCCCAGTGCAGGGCAGAGCTCGGCCCCAGTGGTGTTGGGGCCCCAGGGGCTAGGCGGCAGCATAACATTCAGCCAGGAGGGGGCGCCCCTGGGCCAGCCAAAGGTCCGGTCGCTGAGCCCCCACAGTGACTGGCCAGTGGGGGCCATGTGAGGCCCAGCTCCCCAGCCTCTTGCCACATCCACCATGTGGGGGCGCCCCAGGCTCAGCTTCCCCCCGTTGGTGCTGCGGTGGGTGGCGCTGATTCCCCCCCCCGGCCCCGCTCATACACGAGGCTGGCGCTGGGCTGCCCGCCCCGAGCCTAATTCAGCTTTTTTATTTCCTCTCCACAGTTCAGACAAAGCCTCCAGGCCGGGTCCCTCATCCCACCTCCGACCCCCGGGCCCGGCTGGCACCGAGGGCCAATAAATACATGGGGGGGCAGCAGGTGGCTATAAATTAACCGGGTCAAAGTGCAAAACTGCAGGATTTCCCCCCTTCCCCCCGGGCAAAGGGGCTTCACCCCCTAAGAGCCTCCGCCCCAGGTGTGCACTGGAGATGGGTGATTGGGTGGGGGAGCCGGTGGGCTGGGTGTGGGTCAACAGGGAATGGGAGATGCCAACACTAGAAATAAATTACTAGCTGGGGGTGTTGCGAGGGGGGAGTCACTGGGGCCCCCCCATGGCGGAAGGTGGAACGGCAGGTGATGGGTGATTTTAGCAGCATAAATTCAGCCTTTAACAGTAGTGCCACCCCTGTGCCTGGGGCTGGCACCCGCTAGGGGTCCCTGGTGCTGCCTGGAGCCCTGCTGAACGGCGCCCGGGGCTGGCACTGCGGAGGGAGCAGGGCACCCTGGGCAGCAGGCCCCCCCCGTCGGCTGTCGCCACCTTGCAGCTCCCTTCGGGCAGGGAAGGGCATCTGTGGGCTCCCTCGGCTGCGTTTCTGCAGGTCCCAGCCGGCCCCTCCGCTGGGCCCCTTTCCCCATGGAGTGGGGCGGGTGCGGACAAGGCCCGTGCCAAGGACCCAGGATCACTGGGGCAAAGGGAGCTGGGAGCAGGGCCTTTGGAGAGGCAGGGTGCCAGGGCAGGGGGCACTAGGTAACACCAGGCTCCTGGGAGGCGGGTGTAGAGGGTTGCCAAGCCTGGCACCACCCCGTGGCATGACCATCACTTCACCCCCCAGGGACTGGGGCCCACTTCCAAAGTGACATGCCTCTTAGAACGACCTGGGGGCTAGTGGTTGGGGTGGGGGTGCTGGTAGCCAGGACTCCAGGGTTCTATCCCCAGCTCTGGGAGGGGAGTGGGGTGTAGTGGTTACAGCAGCGGGGCACTGGGAGCCAGGAGTCCTGGGTTCTATCCCCAGCTCTGGGAGGGGAGTGGGGTGCAGTAGTTTAAAGAAGCAGGGGCTGGGAGCCAGGACTCCTGGGTTCAGTTGTCAGTTCTGCCCCTGACTCACTGTGTGCCCTTAGGTGACACTCTTCCTCTCGCTCTGCCTCAGTTTCCCCAGCTGCCAAACGGGGCCATGGGGTTGCTACGTGGGAAGGAGTGGAGCTGGGGCCGGGCAGGGCAGAGGCAGCCTGCCCCATGCAGAGGGAGCTGGCAGGGGTCCACGATGGGGAGGCCAGAGGGCTGGCGGGCAGGAGCAGATGCACCCAGCCAGCAGCCCAGGGCCAGGGCAGGCCCAGGAGGGGACTGGAGAGATGGTCCCCTGACGGCGGGAGGGGCCCGAGCCACACAGCCTGGCTCCGGGTGGGAAGGGGCCCGTGGGCCTGGAGTGCTGTCACCCAGGCGTCCCCAGCTCTGGTCCTGGCTGGGCCCGGGGTGTGAGGCCTCCTGGGGAGGAGGGCTGACGGGCACCCCCGCGGTGCTGGCCAGGCGGTGACAGGGATGGCGGGCGGGGGCAGCGGGGCGAGCGCCCAGCCTCGCTCAGGACGGCTCGCCCGGGTCCTGGCCAGGCACCACCAGCCCAAAGCCGCCGGTACAAAGGAGCAGGTATCCCGCCTTGGTGATGCAGGGCCTAGGTACCTGTGAGGAAAACGCACCGTCAGCAAGGGCACCCCCAGCAGGCAGAGGGGGCTCAGGGGCTGGGGGCTGCTCAGCAGCTGCCCCCCCCAGCTCATTTTTCCCATTCCCCACTCTCCTGAGCCAGCTGGTCCCTGCCATGGGTCCAGATCAGAGCCAGCGCCCCTAGAGGGGAAAGGCTTCATGTCCCATTCCTTGCCCCCCTCACTATGGGGCCAGCTGGGAGCTGGTGCCCCGTAGACGGGCCCTTGCCTGCCCCCCACAATGTGACATGTTCACTATAAACACCCGCCCCACGGAGGCCGAGCAGGGCTGTTGGCAGATGCCTGGTGGGAGGCCTGGGGGTCCCAGGCGGGAGGGTCACACTGAGGGGGGGGGGGGGGGGCTGGAGCTGATGGGGAAGAAGCCCCCAGCTCTGAGGCTGGCTGCAGGGGGAGCTGGTGGCCAGCTGTTTGCTGAACCCCATAGCCTTGGGCACCAGGTCTTTCCCCTGTTCCGGCTGGGATGGGGGGGTGGGGGCACAGTTGTAGGTGCTGGCAGACCGGGAGCCATGACCCTCCTGCTGGGCGAGGACTGACCTCCCCCACCCCATGTGACATGGGGCACCAGGGGCACCTCTCTCAGGGCGGGGGGGGGGGTCTCAGTTTCTCCCCCACCCTCCCTCCAGCTGCAGTCTTCAGGACGCATGTGTCCCATCGCCCACCCCAGTTCTGTCCCTTCGTGGGGGCTCTCCAGCCCTGGGCTGAGGAGTGGGGGGGGGGGCTCTTTGTCCCCCCCCCCCCCAGCTGTGTGTCTCCACAGGTCCTCCTCAGGGAGGAGAGGTGGTGAGAGGGACGGGGGCAGGGACAGGAGCAACCCTCACGCAAGGGCCATCTCGGTGCTGTCCAGCAGGGGGCGCTGGCAGGGCCCAGTGGGGTGACACACGGGGTTAGTTGGGGGGGGGGGGCAGGAAAGCACCTTAAGCAAAAGGTTAAGCAGGTGGGGACCTGGGGGGCAAGCGGAGGTCAGATTGTCACGGCCACCAGCACAAGTTGACTTGAATCATAGAATCACAGAATATCAGGGTTGGAAGGGACCTCAGGAGGTATCTAGTCCAACCGCCTGCTCAAAGCAGGACCAATCCCCAATTTTTGCCCCAGATCCCTAAATGGCCCCCTCAAGGATTGAACACACAACCCTGGGTTTAGCAGGCCAATGCTCAAACCACTGAACTATCCCTCCACAAACCCCAGCCTGAGCCC